ATCCTCTGTTGTAAGTATGGCGCCGCCGGTCTTGTTGAGCAGATCCTGTCCCACTGCCCCGAAGCGCGCTTCGCGCTCGACGACGGCAGTGACCTGGGTGCCGTTGATCACGACCAGGGCTGTCTCACCTGTGGCTATTACCGCAAGCGAGTCACCTTCCGCGTGTCGAGCATTCACCAGACCCTGCAGTTAGGCATTCGTGGGGTCAGCAGGTACAGGGCCATCGGTGGCTTCCCCACTTCCATCCACGATCTCCTCCATGAACAGCAAGCCGACTGCCCGTTTGGGCGAGCTGACCATCGCAGTGATTTTTGGCCGCCGGTGCGCCGGTGCTACTGTCCCGCGCGGAAGCGGTCTCACACATCGACGCAAACTGAGCGCGCGGCCAAGAGGCGACGGCTGTAGCAGGCGGTTCAAGACCCTCCGAGTTACAGATTAATCTAGCAGTAAAGGCATTGCCTCGTAGAAAGAGTAGAGGGGGTGAAAGGTCGACAGAAGAGATGTGACGAGGGGAAAGCAAAGAGAGAGGGAAGGCAAGAGAAGGAAGCGAGAGGGGCGGGAAATGGAAAGAACCGGGTGGGCAACAGGCGTACACGGTGGCCGAGAGTCTCCCTCTGCTTTTTGTGAAAGAGCGACCTTATCCCCATTGCTGCCAAGGACCACCAATTGTGTAGATGGGCCCACCAAAGGTATTGCGATATGGTATCGAGGTAAGTGAGCCTTCCAGGAAAGGGTGCGAACGGCCAGCGTTCCAGAATTGTGGATGATAAGTGGGTGAGCATTACGTCAAGGAGGTACACGGCGCTGTTGGGCTTACCCAAATAAGTAAAGCCACGTGGGTATCAAGAGCAGTCCTGTCCCGGTGCTCCGGTTCAGAGATTTCTAAATCGGACCGCGTCCGAGGTAATCTGCCTTTGTCAACTGCTTCCTTTCTTGCTTCGAAAACTCCATCCATCTGCTAAAACCGGGGCGATTGTCTGCCAAGATGACCATCTTTTGGAATCGTGCTCAAGGGCGCCCAAAAATGGCCCGACCAACAACAATAACTATGATAACTAGATGCCAACATTCTCTCCCGGTTTTCCTGTGAATCTGCGCGTAGCGATTGGTGTTCAATTGCGGGCTCCTTTCCCTTTCTGTTGTTTGTGATGTCGGGATAAAGATGACGCGATTCCGGTCACTTGGAACCGCGTCTCGTCCCTCATCCAAAGCATATCATTACGGCTCTAGATAGATTCGATCGGTAGATACTTAGGCACCAAATGCAGAAAACAACTTTCCTTTTATGTACGGTTCCTTAATATATATATATTCTATTAATTTACAAGAAAAGAAAAGACAAACATATATAATCGCGAGTGGGAAGTGAGGTGTGGTATATTCCGGTTGTGTACACTTTAATGTTGGCTACGTAACCATCCCGCTACGGATATATATATCTCTATACACTGCGCAGCTGGCCGTGAGAAGCCGAAGTAGCGTCTGTGAGGTCTTGGCTATCTACATTTCCTCCCAGGCTAACTATATTATCTAGATATCTGCAGCGTGCGTAGCGCAGAAAGGTCTATCAGTGCTACCTTGGGGAACTTCAAGTGAACTAATATTTGTGTCAGTTCCGTGGAGTTCGAAAGCTCCCCCTGGACATTTTTCTCCTGCCGAATATGGCAGGAGAAACAGAAGCCAGACTGGGTATCAGCATCATGATATAATTGGCTACTAGTGATCCAGTGGTCAATACACTAGTACCAGTTCAGACTAGACTGATAAACATGCTGCTCTTGTGGCTTTCCTGGTTTCTCCTCTTTTTCTAAATATGTGGGCCCGCTAATCCATATTTGACTAAGGTATATTAATTTATACCAATCAGACCACTTGCTTTCAATGACTAAGGATAATTCCATCCATTTATAGACAAGATCTATAATATTAAAACAAGTGTGTAGAACACCCGGACACCGTTTTCGCAACCTCGTGTACCATTCCTTTATCGTCATTTTGTATTGAGTCCACCAGTTCATTAAGAAATTCACGGTAATAATTCGCATATTCGGCAGCAGCAGCAAGGCTTTGAGGGTCTGCAGTGGGGTCTGCCTGGTTGCTGTCGTTGACATTAGTTTCGTTGGATAGGCTATTATTACTGCGATTTTTTTTTTTTTTTTTTTTTTTTTTTTTTTTTTTTTTTTTTTTTTTTTTTTTTTTTTTTTTTTTTTTTTTT